GGGTTTTTTTCTTTTCTTTTTTTTTTTGGCCATTTTTATAAATAAATAAAAATATTTATTTGAGTAACATGATCACTCTCTTTCTTTATTTTCAACATCGACTGGTCGAATCCATCCTTCCTTTTTGGCAATTTAATTTAATTTCACTTTTTTATTTTTGGGAAGGCGACAAAGCAAAAGAGCCTGCAATTGGCTTGGTGGACGATAAATTATTTATAATCTGTAAAACTTGAAGCATTTATACCAATTTTGACTTTTTTTTTTCTTTTGCATTTTTGTCGATCAATATTTTCTTTTTCACTTTCAAGATTTTTATAATTTTCCATCCGACTCTCTTGTCATTTTAAATCTGTAAGTTGTAATGTCTAACTGGATGCCACTTTGAATGAAAGAAACTGATCATCCACGTCGAAGTCATTTACACAGAGATGTCAATTCTAGTGTTATGAATAGATTAAAAAAATTGTTTAATTTTACTTATTTTTTATAAAATTTCAGGATAATTTCTTCTAGAAAAATCAGAAAGTATAGCTCTTGAACAAATTATGACTTATAGACATAATTCCAATTCAATCATGAAATATTATGCATTTAATAATTTGTTAAAAAGTAGGTGAAAATGTTTGTCTAGTTATCTTTTTGCTTGTTAATTTGAATATAAGTAGATGATTCGATCTCCCCATCACATGAATCATGAACTAAAAAAAACTACCTATGTACCTATTTTCAAATATTAAATTTAGAATAATTAAATGTTATAAAAATTATACTTGAGTGACTTAAAAATAAGCTGGATAGAGTCCTAAAAATTTTAAAAGCAATCATGAAATTTTACATTCCCATGATTTAGGTTATTTTGGCCATTTAATAATTTGTTAAAAGTAATTGAAAATGTTAGTCTAGTTACCTTTTTTACTTGTAAATTTGAACATCGGTAGATAAAAACTTACTACATTATTTAAAGTGGAAGATTCGACCTCTCACTAACATATTCAATAAAAAACTACTATTATGTATCTACTTTTAAATATTAAATTTAGAAGAATCCAATATTATCAAAATTATATTTGCGAGACTTAAAAAAAGTTGTAGGGAGTCATAAAAAAATTAAAAGGAGTTTTGGATGTAACAAGATTAAAAATATATATTTTCTAGTCAACTAGTAAATGTTAGTTTAATCAAAGCCAAACTTAATTTAAAATAATCCATAAAATTTCAATGCATATCAAAGTTTTTTTTAAGTGCAAGTGAAAGTGGGAAATTCGAACTCACCGACACCAGACATAGGTATTTTAACTCAATAAACTATATTTAAGTTGACATACAATATATGTAAAGTTGATTTGAATCCAACCTAATTGCTAATAAATCTATGTCGATTTTCTAAAAAATAAAAAGTTTACGTGAGTTTCATTCGGCTCAAATTTATTTTACTATAATCCATAAAAATTCAATTAATTTAAAGTTAAACATTATAATTTAAATTGGATATGAGAACCAGTATGATGTAATATGTAATGATAATGATCTAATATCAATAAAAAATAAGTTATAGTTCTAATAAGAAACGATTTTTCTTTTTGCCAATCATACCACGGAATACCGTAAAAAGGAAGAAAGAAACTGCAAGTGCCAAGAAATGGAAAAATGCACAAATTCAAGTCCATTTTCTCGGTGGCCTTTTATCACGAGGATTGATGCTTATTTTTAATATATGGTTTTCATTATTTTTAATTTCATAACAACCAAATCCACAAAAGACAAACGCAAACCAAACATATTAAGCTTACAAGGTCAAATAATGCGACATCCCTACCACCATCACTTCCTAA